CAAACCACAATGTTCGTTAATGTCTGATTACTGTAATCATGTTGCATTCATTTCCCTTACGCACAGGCACACTATTTTTGATTGACACGTCATTAGTCTTGTACTGACTTGTTTGGTGTGTGCAACAGGAAATATTTTGCTTTCAGAGAACAAGAAAAATAGGTTTATTTGCATTGCACTTACTAATTTGTGCAGTTATTCAGTGTCGGATAAGATAATGTTCGAGAAAAAAATTAATTTTTATTAAAATGTTCTATTATTTTATGTTAACAATTACTTATTTCACTCCTTTATATTCAGCATGTCTCTATGGAAATAAACTTAGGTTTCTATGAAAATTAAAGCTTTTGTTTTTTTTGCAGCCCACATAAACTTAAACCTTGTTTATTTGGCCCATGTTAGCCTTTGAGTTTGACATGCTTGCTCTAAAGAACCTTTTTGTGATAATTGGCTGTGGATTAGATAATAATATAAAATGCTGATTTCCTGATTTTAATAATTTAGCTGAGGTTGTATAAAAGAATTCTTATTTTGAGGAGATATACATTTGTGAGTGAATGTTCATGTTTCTAATTTAACTAGCTAACTGCCATGATACAATCGCTTCTCGGCCTTTTGGCTAAGATCAAGTGTAAAAAAAGGTTCACAGTTTTCGTCTATAGATGCTTATAATTTACAAATGGTTAAATGGTTAGGAAAAAAATTGTATCTATCTTGAGAGAATGATTTAGTGATGTTAACAGTAAAGACTCTGAATAGAGAGTGTATGTGACTTCTTTCCACTATTGAGCTTTCTGTAAAACAGATTGTTTAAGAATATGTACACTTGAGGTGGACAATAAAAAAACAAGTGATTGTAAAAATTTTAAGAAATATAGCTATTTAACATTTAAATGTGTAAGGACTTGATAGACTAAAAGCAGTGGAAGAAATAAAGAAGTAAAAATTGGTAAATGTAACTAGCTAAAACGTGGAAACTTGTTAAAGACAACAAAAACAAAATTAAAAGGCAGAATAATTGTTTTGTTATCCTTACAGGGTAATTTGATGTCTTAGTTTGAGAAAGTAGGGCAGTTTTTCCCCAAACTACTCTGACTTCGAAAATGAAATAAAATTTTCATTTATAAAACTATAATTTGTGAAGCACATTCATGAATAAACGTGTATGCTTACCAAGCTAAAACACCTTACTGAGGGAAGAAGAGGGGAAAGCTTCCTGTCCCAAGAAAACCACAAAATTCACAGCTGATTGGACCAGGAATGAACTCCTAACCCTGGGGCCTGGTGATTAATCAGATCCTCTCTTAGGAAATTGAATTCAGGTTTACAAAACTAGATTTAAGTGATGAATCACTTGATTTGCTATCTAATGAATAAACAGAAAAAAAAATACTACTAAGATAGAAAGAGCAGGATTAGACTTAATATGAGAAACAAAAGTGATAATCTGTGTTTGGGGTTGGAGTGTGTATGTGAAGTGGAGAGAGGGCTTTGGAAATAATCAGATCACCCGGAGTCCAAATATTTTCCTATTTGCAACCCAGGTTCCCATAAAGTTTTTTTGTCTTTTTTTTCTTCAAGCATTGTTGTATGCCTCTCTAGACTTGTTTTATCTGATCTGATGGCTGGATTATGGTTCTTTGCAGCCTAACTTTTGTTAGCAGTTGCCAAATCACATACCTGAGATTACAGGCCAGGTGAGAGATTCCACCAATGCACAGTTGGGGCCTGGGAGGGACACAGGTGGTTGGTCAACTGGGGAGGGACTGCAGGAGGACTCCAGGACATGTCCGGTCCATCTCACTCAGTCCCAATTGGCCAGACCCCAGAAGCAAGCTAACCTACTAGTTGGAGTGTGTGCCCCCTGGTCATCAGTGTATGCATAGCGGTTAAGCAGCCTTAGCATATCATTAGCATATTATGCTTTGATTGGTTGAACGGATGACTGGACACTTAGCATATTAGGCTTTTATTATATAGGATTGTTTTTTATATATTGTAGTTAACAGGGGTTTGGGAATGTAAAGTCTAAATGTTTATGGTATTTGGTATCCTGAACTAATTCTCTCAGTTACAGTTAATAATTTGGGCAAATGATTACCATATCTCTTGTTTTCTTGTTTGGGAATTTTTAAAATAGAAAAATTAGCCTGGTTAGGGTGGCTCAGTGGTTGAATGTCGACCCATTAATTAAGAGGTCACTGATTTTATTCCTGGTCACAGCACATGCCTAGGTTTCAGGCTTGATCCCCAAAAAGGGGTGTGGAGGAAGTTTTAATCAATAATGTTTCTCTTTCATCTGTTTCTCCCTTCTTCTTTCTCTAAAAATCAATGGAAAAATTTTTTTTAAAATAGAAGAATTAAAAACTTCCACTTTTCCCATTTTGAATGTAACTATAAAGTCACAGAATCTTTTAAAATTACATTTTGGAAGGATTATTAGTCAGTTTTCTGGCTAAGGAGAATCTCTTGTGTTTCCTTTTAAGTAGCTAAATACTATTGCAGAAGCTGGGTCACTACAGGGTTTATGGCATTTCTGGCAGTAAGTTGCATTACCATTCCTGGGTGTCTGCACTTTTCTGTCTTTGCCTCTTAAATGTTTTTATAATGAGATTTCATCTTAGCCCAGGCCTCACAGTGACGTGTCAGCTTTTCTGCCTTAATGAGGTTATAGTAGTATTTGTATTGAAGGAGCCACAAGAAATGTTTTGAAACATGGTTGCTATTTGATAAGAAAAGGAGTGAGTCTTTTTTCCTTTCCTCCTTTACCCACTTCAGTGAGCAGATAATATTTAGAAAGATGCTGCGTTTCCTTCTCTGATTTCTCAAATTTCTGTCAGGCTTTTGAAGCTAGATACTGTATTATTTTTGCAGTATTAAAATTGGTTATTCTTTAAAATAATGCAATTTTGGAAACTTGTGGACTTGTTTTTATAGCTTTATTGAGGAATAATTAATTACAAGAACTTGTACTTATTTCCAGTGTCTAATTTGAAGAGTTTTGACATATGTGATGCCATGACTACAATGATAAGATAGCACACATTTTTATCATTCCCAAGAGTCTTTTTGTGTCCCTTTGTAATGTATCCATTTGATCTGCGTTCCATCACCATAGATGTTACATTTTCTAAAAATTTAAATGAATAGAATCATACAGTATATACTTTTGGAGGTGGATGTCTACCTTCTGTCAATCAATATAATTTTCTTGAGGTTTATTTATGTAATTGTTTGTATCAATAGTTCTTTTTACTGCTGATAAGTTTCCTATTTGGATATTCCAAAATTTATCTATTTACCTGTTGATGGACATTTGGGTTGTTTTTCTTAACAGTTTAGAGGTATTATCAACAATGCTGCTGTGGATATTTGTGTACAGATCTCAATGTGGACATGTGCTTTTATTTTTCTTGGATAGATACTTAGAAATGGGATTGCAGGGCCATATGGTAGGTGTATGTTTAACTTTTAAGAGATTGCCAACTTTCTCAAAGTGGTTGTCCCGTTTTACATTCTTAAGAGTTCCTACTGTTCCACATCTCACTAATACAAAATACGGTCGATCTTTTTATTTTTAGCCATTCTAGTAGTATATACTGTGTTTCCCCGAAAATAAGACATCCTCCGAAAATAAGACCTACTTACAGGTTTCCTTCTGAGTGAAATATTATAAGGCATCCCCCCCCCGAAAATAAGACCCCCCCTAGACTAAACATGAGAGATTTGGTCCACTGATTGTGAAAGAAATGGAGTCACAAGAAATTCACCAGGAAATTCAGGAATTGGATTGTTATGATGATGTTCCAAAAGATGATGACATGATTGTCATTGAATAAATGAGTAAATTCTTGATACTGTAGGATTCAATTTGTCTGGTTTGTGTTGACAACTACCGTACTACCGTACCGTATACAGGTAATAAATTTCCTTTATTTTCATTTAACAATAAATGTGTACCGTATTCTTCATGGAAAAATAAGACATCCCCTGAAAATAAGACCTAGCACATCTTTGGGAGCAAAAGTTAATATAAGACACTGTCTTATTTTCGGGGAAACAAGGTATGTATGTAGTAGGATCTCAGTGTTGTTTAATTTGCATTTTCCATATGACTAATGGTGTTGGGCTGCATTTTGGTAAAGTGGTTATCTAATTTTCTTCTAAACAAATTTTGGTCTTTATTATAATTGAGTTTTAAGAAAATTTTTGTATTTTCTGCATTCAAGTTTTTCAAGTTCTTACATGTTTTGCAAATACTTTTTATGAGTTGGTAGCCTGCTTTTTCATATACCGGTATTAGTTTTTTGAAGAGCAACTTAATTTTGATGAAGACTACTTTGCCAAACTTTCTTCATTGTTTTCTTTATGCTCTTGCGTTCTATTTGAGTTCTTCATCATTTCATTTCTTTGATTTGTCTAGAAAGTTAAATAGCTCAGGTTCTCATTTTTTGGCCATGAGGAGGAAAAAAAGCATAGGAGGCAACTATACAGTTTAGAGTTGTATCTGCCTTATATTTCTGTTATTATTTTTTACTAGCAAATTGTTTATGATTATAGTAATTTTTGTTTGTTCTTTTTGGTTGATTTTTGAACCTATCAAGGATTTGTGAAATTGCTACAGGTCTAGTTTATTCTGTTTTATTGAGTGAAGTAACTGAGGTTCATAAAGGGTACATGGTTTGCTAAGAGCTTATAGTCTTGATTATTCCAACAACAAAAAAATTCCAGGTCCTCTCCAATCCCATTTCACTATTTGTTTCCCTATGAAGTGCTGTTCTTTACGATGCTGTTCCTAAGATTTTACTGTATACTGTAACAATAAATTTAGTTCATTTGTTGCCTCTTCATTTCTCATTGTAATAAATATTCTCATTGAAAGCAGTATTATTACAATTAAGTAGGTTAGTTTTTTGAGAGGTCATAATTTTTCCTTTACATTTCATTAAGTGAAGATGTTGATTTATAACACTTTTTTTTTTTTTTAATTCTTTCCAAAGGTCTGTAAACAGATTTGGCTAGGATTATTTGATGATAGATCTTCAGCAATTCCAGACTTCAGGGATCCACAAAAAGTGAAAGAGTTCCTACAAGAAAAATATGAAAAGAAAAGATGGTGAGTGAATAGTTTGTATTTAGAGCAAAGGTTTCCCAAATTAAATTAATTATGGGCACGATTAGTCTGACATAAGAAAGGAAAGAAGGGAGGGAGATAGGAAGGAAATAGGCAGGTTAGGTAGATAGGAAATAGAGGAATAGGTAGGTAGGTAGGTAGGTCGATACCCATTATACTTTGGCTTTTTATTGGATTTGGTTTTCAAAAACGTTTACTTCTACTTTATTGTAACTCAGCAGCCTGTTCCTTGTAATTACCAGGCCTCCTACCCTTTTGGAAAGTTAGGGATCCTTCCTTTGAATCCTTCTTTAGCCCCATTCGCTTCCTAAGATACTTTTAATCTTATAAAGCCTCCTTTCTTAAAATCTTTGTTCATTTAGCAAGTACTTATTTAGAGTCTTCTCTATACTAAGCACTATGCTAAAGCTTTCATGTGTCTACTCACAATCTCTATCCACTGAACTCAGCTTGCAGTAAGTCTTTGCTCAAAATATCCCTCACTTCCCTTCCAAGAAATTATTTTACTACCTGGTTAAGAAGGGAGCCTATATACTCCCCTCACACTATTAAATAGTAAATTTTAAAATTAAATAAAATAAGTTGGACTTGTGGCTAGTGAGCCCCTTAAAGCAGAACAGAGTAGAGTTAGAGTTTACTTTGGGCTTTTAATATTTAGGTATATGAGCACAACTTAAGTCAATTTATTAAGACTCATTAATGATGAATTACTAGTTTCTTTATCAATATTCAGTAGTGTATATTTTTCCTTATGGGTGTGGCTAAGATGATGAAGGAGAGAGTAACAAATGGAAGAGATAAATGGCTTCTTGTTTTCTGAGGAGCTGTATTTGGACCCAGAGAAGGATATGGTCAGGAGCCTGTTTTGGTCCCGAGGGAATACTTGCTGTGGTTTTTAAGTGAAGCGTCTCTACCTGTATTCATTGAGCACATTAGAAAGAAGTAGCTCTGATTTTAATGCTCTGCGAACTTTGTATTCTTACTGTTCTTTTTAGGAGACTGCATTTTGCAAGGCAAGATTAGCTTGGGCTGTATTAAGCAGCACTAGATACCATTAGGTGTGAATGTAGATAAAATACACCAGTAAAAATTAGTTGAGGAAAATTTTAGAAGGTGGGGTGACAGTGAAAGCAAGATGTCAAATGATTATTTTAAAATGATATATGTAATTCTATTTCTACCACTTTAGTTAATTTCCTAGAGACCTTCCACTCTATAATGTATACTTCTTGTATAGCCCTAGCCTAATTTTTTATTTTCTCAGCAGTTTTACCAATTCAGAATATTAGTTTGAATAGAACTTAGCTGGAATTTGAGTAGTTTACCTTCAATTAGCAAGATAATTTTGTGTGAATAAGAGTCAATAGAAATAAAACCACATATTTCCCCAAACTTATAATAGTAAACAATAATGAAATTTACCTATTCAAAATATAATCCAAATAACTGTAAACCTCAAGTAATTATAATTTGTGTTATTTTTTTTCTGCCCTAAGAAATTGGATAGTAGTAACAAGATTAACAGTGAGAATTTTAATTGCTAGGTAGGAAGGGGGAGTGACCATTCAGGAGAGCCAGGGGCTGTGTATTTTAAAGCCATGCTCCTGCACACCTGTGACATGTAACTAGAGAACAGTGCAGTTGGTTTTTAATAAGGCATAAGAACTCTCCAAATGCAGACTTCCTAAAAATCCCTACTTTGAGCAACTATTCTTAAAACAATGAGACTATTGTCACCTAAAGGTATTTTAAATAGTTCTTTTGACCAATTTTCAAACTTTTCCTATGTTATATATTGAGCTGATTACTTTTAGTCAGATGAGTCTTTTGAACTAAGTGCTAGTATTTGGTTTTATCCTTTGATAAGATGTGGCTGTACTCAAAAGTTGATATCAGTGGTTTGCCAAATTATATGAAAGTATAACTTCCTCTATTCATTGTCATATTCCATCATCTCCCATTTATTGGAAAAAGCAAAGCAGTTTTATTTTTTGTGATTAGTGCATAATTTGATAGTAGCTAACACTTAATGTAGCTAGCACCGGTACCAGGAACTGTTCTAAGTACTTTACAAATGTTCACTCGTTTTTGCTTCACAGCAACCGTATCTTCACTTTATAGATGAGAAATCCTAGGCACACCAAGAGTTGAAGTAGTTTGCCTTAGGTTTCACAGCTATTGAGAAGTGAGCTGGGATTTGAACTGTCTCTGGAATAGACATGTGCTCTTAACCGTTTTTTTCAGCTTTCTCCACCTACCTGAAAAGAAAGTTGGGAAGGAAGAAGAAAACCCAGAAATACAGGAATGAAAAAACTCTCACGTATTCCTAACCCTAGAGATCATCATTGCCGATATTTGGGCATTATATTTTTACTGCCTTTCTCTTCTTTCTTTACTCCCTTCCTCCCATGAATCTATATTTACACAACTGAGATCAAACCTGAAAGACCGTAAAGTAACCTGGACACCTTTCTGTGTCAAAAGAATAGCTGTGTATCATTACATTAAACAGATTTAAGAGTGCTGTGGTAACATACATGTACATGTAACTGTGTACACTCATTCAGTTAATTCCTAAGGATGAGTTCTGCAGAGGCATTTCTGGGGCACAGAGCATACCTAGTAACATATTTTAATAGATATCCACAAAATTTGTAACCATTACACTCACATCAAATGCTAATGAATTAGGTTAAAAGTGTTTTCATTTCTATGTCTTCCTTTGTGCGTTGCTTCTGCCCATTTAAAAATTGGGCTGTTGACCTTATTCTTATAGATTTGTAATAAGCCTTTATATTTTAGACTTAACTGTAATGTTTTCCTTGTTTTCTGTTCTGTTTCCAAATGTTACTTATGATCTTAAAATACTTTAGTTTTTAAAAATTAAATTAAAATATTAACTATTCATCATGATTGGTCTGTCTTATAAAAAAGCAGTTAACTTACTTTGTTTATCTTAGAAAAATTAAATTACAAGAGGATTTAAAAAAATTATTTATTGGATTTTAGGGAGGGAAGTAGAAAGGAAGAGTGAGAGAGAAAGAGAAACATCAATTTTTGTTCCATTTATTTATACATTCATTGGTTGATTCTTATATGTGCCTTGGGTGGAGACTGCACTCACAAGCATGGTGTACCGGGATGGGACGATGCTCTAACTCTCTGAGCTACCAAGACAGGATCCCGAGGGATTTGAAATAAGATTAATATCAACATTCATGCAAAATTAGAATTTTGCTTATCATTTTTGAATATGACATTTCCTATATTTTTCTTAATTAACTACCTGTTTAACTTTTCATGTGTTTTAGGTATGTCCCACCAGAACAAGCCAAAGTAGTGGCATCTGTTCATGCATCTATTTCAGGCTCCTCTGCCAGTAGCACAAGCAGCACACCTGAAGTCAAACCATTGAAATCTCTTTTAGGAGATTCAGCACCATCCCTGCACCTAAATAAGGGCACACCTAGTCAGGTGAGTAGTCAGTAAGTCTTTGTAGAGGTATCTACTTGAGGACTGAATGCCAGAATTTGAGACTTTAAAAAAAATAATAGTATAATCTTGTATGCCAGTAGCATTATGTGCAAGTGGTTTATAATACATTAAAGTATTGTTGGTTAAGTAATTGGAATGTGTATCTATTTGCTCCTTTGCTATTGCTAATATGAGTTTCTTTGAATTCTCCACAGCTTTGTGAAGGTCTATAGGAATATTGCTATAGTTATCTGTTATGTAGTATACATTATAAAACATGAATCTGTCATAATCATCAGAGTCAGAACAATATAGCCTCTGTGATGTACTTTTTTAGGAAAGGGTTTCTCAAGGAGTGTAATCCCCCCCATGCCCGATTTGTAAAGCACTGGTGTCTTTGTGTTGCAGTATATATCTTATTCTAGACAACTGAATAGACTGAAAGTTTTTGATAAGTGGTACCTAAAGTTTGTACTTCTGTACTTCATTACAGTTGACTGAGCTGTGACAAATCTGTTACTGTGTGACATTACAGCATCTACCCTACACAAGAATGATTCTGAGGCATGGTACTATTTGAATTAAATCCCACTCTTTTAATAATGCATACTAGGGCATTTGGATAAATTGCTCTGTTTTACAGAAAGTTTAAGCGAAAAATGAAGAGAGGGGTTAAGCCAGTATTTTATAACTCTTCTTATGTATAAATGATGTATTCTGTGAAAGTCTTATTACTGGCTTAGCAGTAAGTCCATCCTTTCTTGTGATCACTATTGTAATTGTTTCTTTGCTTTTGACTCTATAATTAGAATTGAGAGATGATTTAGGAAGAGATAGTGAAAACTGGTGCTTTTTAAAAAATATCAAAGTACCAAAACCACAAAAAGAAGACTCTATAATTTTTAAACTGTGTTTTAAGCTTGATTAGTTGGGAATAGTGTGGTCAAAATTTAGCAGATCTGACTGGAAACTTTATAGCCAATATGTGTTTTGTAGTCCCCTGTTGTAGGTCGCTCTCAAGGACAGCAGCAGGAAAAGAAGTTTGACCTTTTAAGTGATCTTGGCTCAGACATATTTGCTGCTCCACCTTCTCAGTCATCAGCTACAGCCAATTTTGCTAACTTTGCACATTTCAACAGTCATGCAGGTAAGTGTTTTTTCCCAAAGAACTTTTATTAGAGATGTGTATAAAACACCAGAAACAACCTTTTTTGTTTGTTTTGTTAATCTTCACCCGAGGATTTTTTTTTTTTTTTTTTTGGTGAGTGGAAGGGAGGGAGGGAGAGGGGAGAGCAATACATTGATGTGAAAGAAACACATCTATTGGTTGCCTCCTGCATGCGCCCCAACAAGGTCTGGGGATGGAACCTGCAACCAGGTATGTGCCCTCGACCAGGAATAAAATTGCAGCCCTTCGGTGTTTGGGCTGATGCCACTCTAACCACTTAGCCAAAGCCACTCTGGCTAGTGCAATAACCTTTTTGATTATTTGTTTGTTTGTTTTTAACTTAAATACTAGGAAACATATTCTGTTGAGAATATATAATCACTCATACCTGTTGAGGTGTATAAATCATGTAGCCTTCCCTGGTACTTTTTAATCACAAAAGAGACTATACTTAATGTCAGGTATTGACATGACCTCTTTCTAAAGAAATAAGGAAAGACTATTAAATATTTTTAACCCTTTGGTAGGGAGAATTTCAGATATTCAGAAATGATCAGATAATATAACCTTCATGTACTCATCACTTATGGCTAATCTGGTTTTATTTCTAGTCATTTCTTCTCAAGTTACTTTGAAGCAAATTTAGACATATTAATTTATTCTTAAATACCTATTTTATATGTATCTGTAAAATAAGATGTCCTTTGTCACACATAATCCTGGTAGTATTACCAATCCCTAAATAATAACAATAATAATCTATATATCTAAAAACCTAATCAACTGAACAACTGGTTGCTATGACATGCACTGTCCACCAGGGGGCAGACACTCAACACAGAAGCTGCCACCTGATGTTAGTGCGCTCCCACAATGGGAGCTCCGCTCAGCTGACCAACCCATCCTGGCGGCAGCCGCTCACTCCCTCAGTAGTTCTGCAGTTCTAATCTCTGGAGAGGGCCCAGCACTTGCAGACCTGCACCACCAGCATGATCCTGACAGGATCCTGACAGCACTGTCAGCCTCCTAGAAGTTGGTCTTGGGCACTGCGGCCACTTCCCTTTCCTAGATGCTCTGCCAGGAAGAAATGATATAAAAGCGACTGCCAGGTGGCTCCCAACAACCAGTGTGAATGTCAGTTGGACACATCCGGATCCCAGGCCGGCAAGGGCAACCCACGGCCCACTGGAGGGCCGATCGCATCCTAGGCCCGCACACCACCCCCTCTTAGGATCAGCGCCAGACATAGGGCTCACAGCTGGTGAATGCAGCTACAGCGGTTCAAGCCTCTCCTGATCGGAAGCCTCTCCCGATCAGGACTGACTGGGTGCAAGCACGTGGCAGTTGTTGTGGGGCTGCGATGAGCGGGAGCAGCAGCCGGCATTGGACTGCAGGCTTTGGCCTGATCCCCTCTGGCCACCCCAAGTAGCAATGCCTGGCTTCCTCTCCCTAGCGACTAGCCTCCTTGGAGTTTCTTTAGCCCAGGAACACGACTTGCTTTATAGTCGGGTGGAAACATTTTACACTGTAACCAAATGTTTTCCCTTGCCTTATCTCATTTGATCCTCACAGAAGTCCTGGAGTGTGTAGGTAAGAGACTTAGTGGAATCCTGTTTTCTTTTTATTAGCTGGAAAACGGAGATTTAGAAAGCTTAGAAACTTGACCCTACTGAAAAGAAGTAAGAAATGGTGGACTTTGAAAACAACTTCAGTTTTCTCACTGCGCCAGACATTGCTGTAGTTAAATATTTTACCCTTTGTTCTCCCTACATGATCTACAATAATGTGCTTCATGTTGATATTTATTGCTGTGTTGCTGTCAATTACCTGAAAGGGAAGATGGGGTGCTTCACTGGTTTGGAAAAAGTTTAGCTGAATCAGAAAGCAGTTCTAATTAACCAAGTTTGTTCTATATTTATAAAGGCTAAGTTGACTTGCTTATGCACGATACATGTAAAACTCACTGGCACCAACACCGTGTTTGTTTCCACCTGACATTGTTGATCATGAATTTGATTGACACTTACATTATAGAGAAGGGCGAATAGTGATATTAAAATACTTTTTAAAATTAATTTTCTTTCAGTGTTTACAAATTCGTGCACCTGGCCACTAGTAATAATAATAATAATCCATTAGTATTCAAATTTCCACTCCAGTTCAATCACACATACACAGTTTTTTCAGATCAGGTTTCAAGTAAGGTCTGCACATTGCAATTGTGAGATATGTCTCTTAGCCTATAGGTTCTTCCTCTATCCCTTTTTTCTTTGTAGTTTATTTATTTAAGAAATTTGTTTATTTGTCCTGTTGAGTTTTAGGCAATCTGAATTTGTTGATTGTACCACTGGGGGGGTCCTTTATCAGGTTTTTGTCTTCTGTATTTTCTGTAAATTGATAGATACTTGATCTGTTACTGTTTCTTTTTTATAAAATATATTTTTATTGATTTCAGCGAGGAAGGGAGAAGGAGAGCTAGAAACACCAATGATGAGAGAGAATCATTGATCAGCTCCTCCTGCACACTCACTACTGGCTATGGAGCTGCTTCCAGGCATGTGCCCTTAACCCAAATCAAACCTGGGACCCTTCGGTCCGCAGGCCAATGCTCTTATCTAATGAGCCAAACAAGCTAGAGCCTGGTTCTTTTTTAGAGCACAGTGGTGGTGGAGGGGGCAAACCTGCTACTTAGTGTTTTAGAGGCACATAATGTTGATTGCCTGGTTTAGTAATACTAGCTCTTGATGTCCATTACTGGGATCAAGTTATGCAAAATTGTGATATTCTAAATATATCATTCCTTTATCAGCTAAAGTACTTTTTAAAAATTTTTATCTTCCACAAATATGCATGCAGTTAGAAACAATTTACTTATGATAGTTTTTTTTTTTACTAAATAAACATATCATAAAACCTATGAACTATAAACTGTAATTAAATTTTGTCACAGCTTATACCAGAGGTGTCAAACTCATTTGCCTTGCTACTCAGTTAAACACAAATGAGTAATACAGTACAGTGTGTAAGAAACCATGGTGCCCTTCATAAAGGGGGATGTTCTAATCTGTTGCCACACGGAAATACAGGTTTAAGATTACTAATATGTTAATTTTCTTTTTTTAAAAAAAAGCCAGCAATCATATTTAAAATAAAACACTTTCTTTTGAAATATTGGAAATTAATGGAAAAAAATTTAAATTTTTTCATAGGTGAAACAAAATGTATCTGTCAGCTGTATATGATGAGGGCTGTTCAATTCCATCTCATCCTTTCTCATGAGTACCTGTATCTTGTTGAAAAGAAACACAGCCCTCAGCAAGATTCAGAGTCATTAATTTGTTACCTAAATTTTTAGTTGACTCATTTAGATTTTTTGAAATAAAATTTAAAACATATCTTTGTCACATTCTTTTTTTGTTTGAAGATTGCTTAACGTTCCAGATAGTAATTTTTATATTATTAAATTTTGTAAAGCCTTATTACCAAATTCGTGCTTACCAAAGTTTTATTCCATAGTACTTAGAAATTTTAAGTCATTATAACCAGTTGCTGAAGACTGAATAGATACAGACAGGGTCTACAAATAAAAATGGATAGAAATTTCACAAAGAATTAATGTGTTTAGTGCTCTGGTTGGAAAACACTGAGAAAATGTAAGTGTGGATGCAATAGATTAGACCTAATTAAATGGATTGTATTGAACTGATTTTTTCCCTAACAATGTTTGAAAAGTCAAGTGACTATTTCCCCCCTTTTAAGTGCTAAATATAAGCATAGAATACATATTATATACCATATATTCATGTTTGAGGTTATAAAGGATAAACTATCTTAGGGACCTAATTCTTATTTCTACAAGGGACAGATTTGTTTCATTTGTTCGCAAATGTATAATTAAACTATTTAAAAAACTAAGAAGTTTACCTTTTGGAATATAGCCATTCTAAATTTGAGAATTTTCCATACCATGTTCTCTATTCATTTGGTTTACATTTGCATTATCTATATGTATATTATATATTTTGCCCTTTTTGTTGGATTCCCCCCCGCCCCTAGTATTTCAGAACTCTTTAAGAATTTCTGTTGTCTCATAAATTATAGAATCATAATGCTGGATTTGTAAGTGCTGACCATCTAGTTGAATCCTCTCATTTTGCTAATGAGAAAACTGGTAGAGCCAGAACAATTGAGGGTCTTGTCTAAAACTTTATAGTAACTTATGTTAGGATGGAATGCTCTGACTTCCTTTAAGCTAAATTGTACTTGCTTACTGTTCTTAGCAATACTAAATGGTAAGTTTGTTTAAACTTGTATATTTGTTACTTAAACTATATAGATATTCCAAAATATTTTCCAAGAAGTTAATTTTAAATTTTATTAGTATTTTTTCCATTATATTTACTTGGGGAAATGTAAAATTTTAGCCTATAAAGTAATTTAATTTTAAGTAAAAGTAATGACAAAATATTGGGACATCTTGCAAATATAGAATTTTATATTGTTAAGCTATAAGCAGCCTTTTAATTTATGTATTTCTGTATACTGTTTGAGAGCTAGGACAAAATGTGTTTTAAAAAGGTTCTCTAGAACAAAGTGTGACCAGTGATGTGGAATAGCACCCCACATTTCAACAGTGTTAGGTGCGAGTACCCAAGAAGGGAAGTGGCACAGGTACCTAGTATAATAAAAGGGGTCTATTTTAGGTACATTTCCTCCAATACTGTCATACCCTTTCATATACATACAGAAAAGTAATTACATAAACTGCTGTAAGTTTTCCTGATTTTCTTCCTATGTTGAGCTCTATTAATGGAAAATTTTGTTGTTTAGTATCTTTTATTATTTTGTTTATAAGTATAATACATATTCATTACAAAAGCTCGGTAAATTCAGGCAAACAAAGAAGGAAATATGTAACTATTTGAAATCTTATTTCGAGTTAAAATACAGATATTTTATGTATATAATACCATATTTTAAAAAGCAGATGAAAATTACCTGGAATTTATTAACCGTATTTACTCTGTCATAAACATTTTTGTATAAGATTGAATATTATTTTACACTAGAGGCCCAGTGCACAAAATTTATGCATGGGGGTGTGTCCCTCAGCGCAGCCTGCACCCTTTCCAATCTGGGACCCCTCAAGGATTGAGACTAAATGGGCAGTCGGACATCCCTCTCACAATCCAGGATTGCTGGCTCCCAACTGCTCCTGCCTGCCTTTCTGATTGCCCCTATTCGTTTCTGCCCACCAGCCTGATCACGCCCTAACTGCTTTCCTGCTAGCCTGTTTGCTCCTGTCATGCCCTGCAGGCCTGGTCATCTCTTAACTGCCCTATCCTGCAGGTCTGGGTTTCTTCCCCCCACTCCCCCCTGCAGCTCAGTCACCCCCAACTTTGCATCTCTGCTGGCCTGGTCACCCCTAACTGTCCTCCCCTGCAGGCTTGATTACCCTCAACTGCCCTCCCTTGCAGGCCTGGTCCCTCCTAACTGCCCTCCCCTGCTGGCCATCTTGTGGCAGCCATCTTGTGCCCACATGGGGGCAGCCATATTGTGTGTTGGAGTGATGGTCAATCTGCATATTACTCTTATTAGATAGGATAGAGGCCTGGTGCACAGGTGGAGGCCAGCTGGTCTGCCCTGAAGGGTGTCCTGGATCATGGTTGGGGTTCCCTTGGAGAGTGGGGAGGCCTGGGCAAGGGGCCTGTGGTGGTTTGCAGGCTGGCCATGGTATCTGGGATTTATTTATCTTCTATAATTGAAACTTTGTAGCCTTCAGCGGAGTCCTGGGCTGGCCAGGGTGTGCCCGAATCTTAGCTTCCTCCATCACCGGGGAAACCCAAGCTTTCAGCTTGCTCTGTGGCCATCTTGGGTTAATTTGCATACTCACTCTGATTGGCTGGTGGGCGTGCCTTGAGGGTGTAGTAGAGGCACGGTCAGTTTGCATATTACTCTTTTATTACATAGGATTATTTTTTAAATGGCTGTATTCTATCTATCGTATGATATTCCATAATGTATTTCAGTGTTTCCCTCTTTGCTGGCTATTTGAGTTTCTAATTTTTTCATCATAAAAAAACATGTTTAGCTATTACAAAGAGCCATACACATTTACAAGATTATTGCTTTACAAAAACTTCATAGAAGTAGAAATGCCTGCAAAGGATTTATGTTAATGTCTACTTACTGGACATTCTTTTCATTCTTGTCACTTAACATTTTTTCCCTCATATCAACCACTTCTTATTCTCATCATATCCTTTATAAAAATCTTACCCAGCATCTGTTTTGTCCTCTAAAAAAAATCTGACTTGAGAATTTTTTAGAGGACATAATTGCATAATTTATAGAAGCCTAGAATTTTGCTCTTAGGTTAATGGCCAGTTGGAAATACCAGTGGGTCTTTTTTGAACATGAGTGCATTTATGTTATAATTTTTACTATTTTTCCTAGTTTCTTACATTTTAATGTGTTTGAAAGTGCAAGCTTCCAATAGAATGTGAATATTTTTGTTTGACAATCATGTCTTGTTATATATTCAAGTTTATTTTTATATGCCATGATATGCAAAGTTGTGAACTTAAAAAGAATCAAAAAGGATATTAATCTTTTTATCAGTGTTTCAGATTTCATCCAGTCAGTGAATCACTCTGTCATTTTAAATATGAATTTTCCAGAATGTATCCTATATCCTAAATTTCTATCTGCCTTATTGTAACCATGTGTTTAGTGCTCTTAATTCGAAATTTTCTTTAATAGGGTTACATTTATAATACTGTTCCTGAGGTCTCTCAGTGTGTATTGCATACATATTTATCATTGTACAAAGTGATTTTGGAAATTCTGGATAACCGTTTATAAATTGTGTGAAATTAGGCTAAGTAAACACTGGTAGGATTTAAAATCAGACCTCTAAATGTCTTTGAATTGAGTTCTAAGATGTAGAAACGTTTCATAAAATTCTCAAATTCTTTTGTCATATTTTTTATTTATAGTTTTCATATTCATTAACATGTATTGTTCCTTACCATTTACAGCTCAGAATTCTGCAAATGCAGATTTTGCAAACTTTGATGCATTTGGACAGTCTAGTGGTTCGAGTAATTTTGGAGGTTTCCCCACAGCAAGTCACTCTCCTTTTCAGCCCCAAACTACAGGTAGAGCTTCTCCAGCATTATGCTTAAATGTTTACTTTAAAAAACTATAGTAAAACTCTCTAGATGTAGTTTTGAAAATTACTCTAAACTTAAATTCTATAAATCTCTGAATTTACAATACTTATATTTAGCAAAGCTCTGGGGAAACCTGAAATCTTTATTTTGTTCTGTGTTCATTTGTTTTTCTAAACTCTTTAGTATGTTGTCCAATTCACAGAATTCTCCTTTTCCTGCACATGAATCTTAAACTTCTTATCTAAGGAAGGATTAAAGTACTAAAGTTTTTTAAGTTCAAAAAACATATTATGATTTAGGCTCTAAGTAAAGGAAGGCAATTTATTGCTTCCATAGAACTAAAAGTAGAAGTAATTTTTAGGCAACAAACTTGAAAAATAAATGTTATTAGTCAAGAATAGATTATTGGATTGGTTTAATCAAACTGGGAAATCATTTTCTGTGCAGGAATTGATCTTGAAACATTGAATACTCTTCCATAAACTATATTGTTTTCTGAAATTCATTGAACTCATGTTTAGATCTTTGGCTGGTTACTTTTCTTTACTTGAACTCTGTGTATTGTCTTAAAGCTTTTTCTTTCAATTTTCTTCCCCCTTCCCCCCCTCTTTAACTTTCATCATTTACATAATTTCTGGCTATCCAGCATTTAGAATGCTTTCATCTAGCTGCAGTTTTGGTGAATTTACTTCTGCTTTTCCTCTTCAGGCTACCAACAGTAAGTTCTCTTTATCAAGTAGGCATCTTTTACTAATTTGTATGTTTTATGCTGTATTTCATGTATTTTTCAATTATAGAATGTTAATCATCTTTTAATAATCTTCATAAATTCTCACTTTCCCTTCACTTGAGAACACAATAATATACAATAAGAGAGTTAATTTAAAAATTCCCATTTTAATTTGAAATAAAATTCTTCATATGAACTTTGAAAGCTTTAGAATGTAGTTTGTTTACCAGCTACTTATAGCAGGTCACAATCATTTAAATATTCACATTACTTAATTTTAATTGAAAAAAAAACCAGAGTTTTAATGCCTGATAAATTTTATCTATACATATTGTTTTAGAGTGTTTAAAAAACAGATTGATGGAAAGTGTGTGTATGGTTTTTTTTAAAAAAAATAGTCGTGTATCCGTTCTATTGTAAAAATATCTTTGCGTACTTTGTATCACCGTAATATAAAACTATACATATAAATTATTTTGATTACTGAAACTAATGTGTAGCCATAAAGAACTGGTATCAAAAGCATAGAATGAAATATATTAGCTTTAGTCTTTGGTAATACTTTAAAGAAGGCTCTAGATTACAGGACAGACTTTGAAATTTTAGTAGGATATATACCTGTATGTGAATTATGCTCTATACAGAAAAAAAAATTGCTATAATATTTAAACTAGTTTGATATTGTATACTATAATTTTCTTTGAAATATATAAAATAGGTCATGATTTTTATGAGGAAACCATGGTGTATGAGCATTAAATTATTATGGGTAAGTAATAGCTCTTCAAATAAAATAAGTCTGGATCTCAAAGATCACCTATTAAGAAACTCTGGATCAAAATAGTCATCTTAATACATTTTAAATTTCTATTCCTGGGATTTGTTTCAACCAAGTTTTCGTTAGAAGCTACAAAAACTTGTATTATCAGATACTTTGCATCTTATTAGCAGGAGGACTAGTAAAAGGTGATAGTATATAGTTGAATGTTATATATTGTAATGAGTCTCAAACCAGATGAATTATATCCTTTACTTCAGATAATTACACACAGAGATTTGTAACTCTTCCTATTGCCAGGGCCTTTGGAAATCTAGATTTGCAAATTATAAGTTAAGTGTAGATGGCTAAAGTTGAGTGCTATTTGTCAGTTATTATCTAGCACAGGATATTGGGGAAAATCTATATATTTCAAGGGTTCTGTTTATTCTGTTACAGGTGGAAGTGCTGGATCAGTAAATGCTAATTTTGCTCATTTTGATAACTTCCCTAAATCCTCCAGTGCTGATTTTGGAACCTTCAGTACTTCCCAGAGTCATCAAACAGCAACAACTGTTAATAAAGTTGCAACAAATAAAGCTGGTCTTCAGGCTGCAGATAAATATGCGGCACTTGCTAATTTAGACAATATTTTCAGCACAGGACAAGGTAATCTTACTTTAAACAAATACAAATTTCTGTATTAAACAGTTCTTTACATTTGATTGTATTTATTAAAATGTAAGGATACTATGCTTTTCTTAGTGGTTGTATAGAAATTTCATTTACACTAAATGTTCAAGACTTCCAGGATCTGAAATACCAACTACAAAACTGAAGTTATACAAACTAATTTGTTTACTTATGGTTTTAAAATAAAATAATTGACAGAAATTTAATTTTGTCTTAGAAAGCCTGCTTTCTGTTCTATGACTATACATGGTTAAGAATCTTAAAAATAGAATTGACTGTAAGGCTTTTTGGTGGTTTCTATAATATATTTATTTTGAATTACTTTCTATTAATATCTTGGTAATTTTTTAAAATGGTTTTTATAGTATATTCTTATGCCGAGTTTTGGTCTTGAAGGCCATTATTTTGCCTCTCAAAGTGTATAGTACAGTGGGGAAGAGCAAGGGTGTGCTTTCCTGCTGCAGGGCCTACTTTCTCATCTCCATAATAAGGGTAGTAAATAGCATTGAACTCATGGAATTGTGTTATTACACGTAAGGCATTTAGAACAGTGCTTGGCACATAGTAAGTGCAGTAAATATTTCTTCTCATTATTTTTTTTTAATGGATAACCCTGGGAATATGATATTACTTGATTGTTCACATCAGGGTCCTGTATTTTATGAATTTATATGTTTACTTAAATGAAATACACGTGATGTTAAGTAGCGATTTTTGAGAATTTCTTCTTTATGCACACTCTAAACTTGTTACTGGCACAGGGTCTTAGTTTTTTGTTATAGAAGCAGTAATCTATAGCAGTATGTGTTGCAACTAATCTTGCACAATATTTTCTACATTATTAGATATGACTCTAGAATCCTATTTCCTTAGCTCCAAATCAGTTGTAAATTTACACGTTGCATGGGAAATCTGGTAGATAAATTGGAAGTATACCTTTAAATTTGAGGGATAATTTGTTTGTTCACAGGTGGTGATCAGGGGAGTGGCTTTGGGACGGCAGGTAAAGCTCCTGTTAGTTCTGTGGTTTCACTTCCCAGTCAGTCAAGTGTGTCTTCAGACAAGTATGCAGCTCTGGCAGAACTAGACAGCGTTTTCAGCTCTGCAGCCACCTCCAATAATGCATACACTTCCACAAGTAATGCCAGCAGGTACCTTGTCTTTGTGTTCCTGCTTCATGTTAAATCTTTTTTCAACTCTGAATAATAATGTTAAGTAAAGACTGTGGTAAAATTTTAAAATTATTAAATATTTTTATAAATTTGAGGAAACAGCTTAATTTGTTAATCCTACCTAATAAAAGAGTAATATGCAAATTAAACATCACTCCACTATACCCACCAGCCACGCCCACCAGCCAATCAGGGCAAGTATGCAGATAAACCCAACCAAGATGTCTAGGGCTACAGAGAGCAGGAGGGAGGGAGCCTTGGGTTTTCCAGGCAATGGAAGAAGCCAAGCTTTCTGCCTGCTCTTGCCTGCCTAGGCCTCCACTCAAGGCTACAAAGTTTAAACTATAGAAGATAAACAAATCCAAACAGAAATTGCAGCAGCCACTGAGCTGGAGAGAGCAGGCTAGGGTTGCCCCTGACAATGGAGGAAGCAAAGCTTTCCACTGACCCTGGCCAGCCCAGGCCTCTGCTTAAGGCTACAAAGTTTCAATTATAGAAGGTACATAAGTCCCAAGAGAAATGGCTGCCAGCCACAGAGCAAGCAGGAGGCTTGGCTCCACTCCAGGCTACAAAGTTTCATTTGTAGAAGGTAAATAAATTCCAGATAACCAGGGCCTCTGCTTGGGTTGCTGGGGTCATGGCCGGCCTGCTAACCACCACAGGCCCTTTGCTCAGGCCACCCCATACTCCAAGAGAATCCCCACCCTGATCCAGGATACCCTTCAGGGCAAACCAACTGGCCCCCACCCGTGCACCAGGCCACTATCCTATCTAATAAAAGAGTAATATGCAGATTGACCATCGCTCCAACACACAATATGGCTGCCCCCATGTGGTCAAAGATTCTGCCCCTATGTGGACACAAGATGGGCACCACAAGATGGCCAGCAGGAGAGGACGGTTGGGAGGCACCAGGCCTGTAAGGGAGGAAAGTTTGAGGTGATCAAGTTAGGGGTGACCAGGCTGGCAGAGAAGGAAAGTTGGGGGCAAACAGGCTGGCAGGGGAGCAGTTAGACATCAATCAGGCTGGCAGGCAGAAGTGCTTAGTGGCAATCAGGAAGGCAGGCAGGCAAGCAGTTGGGAGCCAACAGTCCTGGATTGTGAGAAGAATGTCTGACATCCCACAGGGATCGGGCCTAAAAAGGCAGTCAGACATTCCTTGAGGATCCCAGATTGGAGAGGCTGGGCTGAGGGACACCCCTTAGCCCGTGTGATGAATTTCGTGCACTAGGCCTCTATTTAAAATATAATCCTTGATTAACTGCCTAATTCTTTTTTTTTTTTTTTAATCAAAAGTTTTATCATTTTCTTGAACACCAAAATGTAAGCGTATGTACACATCTCAAAATGGACAGCTGTATACAGATTTAATTATATTCAGTAGAGAATTCATTTAGGAAATTATATACTTTTAAGGTACAGTTTTTAGTCATGAAGACTAAACATTGAAAGTAACATTTTATATCCTTGGTTATAAATATACATTTTTAGAAATGTTTGCACCAGAACAGAGCACTAATTTTATATTTCTTCAGTGTCATATTGGTATTTATCAATAGACATATCTGTAACTGTGTTCAAATATATCTGGTGGAAAGGAATTCTTTGTAGCAGGAAGTCTGACACATTTTAACAACATTAGATCTTTAAAAGCTCCAATCAAGAAGCAGTTTTGGCTTCTTGATTAGAGTTAAGTTATACAGAAATACAGGTGACTTACACACACATTGTTTTATTTATCTCTGTTTTTCTAATTATTATTTTCTTTTTTTATTGATTTTTTTTTTTACAGAGAGGAAGGGAGAGCGATAGAGAGTTAGAAACATCGACGAGAGAGAAACTTCGATTAGCTACCTCCTGCACAGCCCCTTCTGGGGATTTGCCCACAACCTAGATACATGCCCTTGACCAGAATTGAACCTGGGACCCTTTAGTCCACAGACTGGTGCTCTATCCACTGAGCCAAACCGGTCAGGCCTATTTTTCTAATTATTTTAATCCTCAACCAAGGACATCTTTTATTTTTTATTTTAGGGGGAAGAGAGTGAGAGAACCATCATGTGTGATGGAAACATCAATTAGTTGTCTCCCACATGTGCCCCTGCTGGGAATCAAACTCATAAAAGGTGTAGGGGTGGTGGTGCTCCAACCAGCAGAGCCACCAGCCATCGTTTATGAACATTCTTGATGAAACAGTCAAGAAATTAATTTTATTAAATCTTGATCCTTAAACATGTCTATTTTCTGTGTGTGGAAGTAAAGTATGCATCAGATAGGTCTGCTGCTTATTGAGGTACTAGTGGTTTGGTGCACAAAATTCTTGCACGGTGTGGGGGTTGGGGGGGTGTTCCTCAGACCAGCCTGAACCCTCTTCAGTCTGGGACTCCTTGAAGAATGTCCTACTGGTTAACAGGGATTGGGCCTAAACTGGCAGTCAGACATCCCTCTCACAATCTGGGACTGTTGGCTTCAGCTGCTCACCTGCCTGCCTGCCTGCCTGATTGCCCCTAACCACTCTGCCTGTCAGCCTGCTTGCCACCAGCCTGCTTCCCTTCAAATGCCACCTCCCCCCACCCCACCCCCCGCCAGCCTGATCACCCCCAACTGCCCCCTGTGCCAGCCTGCTCACTCCCAGCTGCCCCCACTGCTGGCCTGCTTGCCCTCCCCACTGGCCTGCTCACTCCAAAATGCCCCCTCTCTGTCCTGATCACCTCTAGCTGACCCACACTGATGGCCTGCTCACCCCCAACTGGCTCCTCTGCTGGTCTACTTACCCCCAGTGGCCCCTGCTGTCCCATCCTGGCCTGATCACCCCCTACGACCCAAGGTCCCAGCCCCTTCTTTTTAACTTTTCAGCATCTCCTTGAGTGGAGGCCAGGGCCAGCTGGAATCAAGTATCAAGTATCAAGGATTTATTTATCTTCTATAATGGAAACTTTGTAGCCTTGAGCTGAGGCCATGGCTGGCTAGGACAGATGGGAAGCTTGGCTTCCTTCGTCACTGGGGACAACCCAAGCCTCTTGCTTGCTCCAGTTCCATGGCCACCTCCATTTTGGGGGGGATTTATTCATCTTCTTTGATTGAAACTTTCTAGCCTTGAGTGGAGGCCAGGGCCAGCCAGGGCAGATGGGAAGTTTGGCTTCCTCCATTGCCAGGGCAACCCAAGTTTCCTGCTAGCTCCAGCTCTATGGCTGCTGCCATTTTTGTTGGGATTCATTTATCTTCTATAGTTGAAACCTTGTAGCCTTGAATGGAGGCCAGGGCAGATGGGAAGATTGGCTTCCTCCATTGCCAGGGCAACCCAAGCCTCCTGCTTACTCCAGCTCCATGTCTGGTCACCATGTTGGTTGGGTTAATTTGCAGCTGGTGGGCATGGCGAAGTGATGGTTAATTTGCATGTTTCTATTTTATTAGTGTAGATGATGACTGTCTAGTTTGGTTATTGTCGAATGAACCAGCCACTTGTTTTCTGAAACACTGTTTTTCCTTGGGAGATGACTGATAGGCAAACCAAGGTTATTCAGATTTGGCTATTTGGCAATATTATCTAAAAAATAGAGTATTTAAGCCTGTCATTTAATGAAAATAACTGATAATAATCACACATTAAACCAAATATTAGAATTTTGGAAAATTACTTTACCATAAGTGTGACAGCTTTCTATTACCTTTCTGATGAGTGAGTAGTGATATTTATGAATGTGATGTGTTTTTTTTTCTTGAAATTTTGCATAAGGAAATGTGTTGACATTTGGAAGATTGGCATCAGGTATTTTCTAGATGATAGGACATCAGTAAAAATTTCATTTAAAGCACAAGATAGACTAATGAATGTTAACTTTAATCCAGCAAAAAACAGTTCACTGATAAGGTTTCAAATTCCATATTAAAACAAACTTTTAGGAATTGTTGCTGTTTTTGGTATGATAACAAAGAAAATATCCACAACTAGAGGCCTGGTGCACGAAACTCTTGGGCAGGTGATGGGGGTTTTCCTCAACCTGGCCTGCACCCTCTTACAGTTCGGGACCCCTTGGGGGATGTCTGCCTGCCAGTATTCAGACATCCCTCTTGCAGTGTAGGACTGCTCACTCCTTACCGTCAGCCTGCAGTGGAGGCAGGAGAGGTTCCTGCCACCACTGCTGAGTTTGCCAGCTGTGAGCCCGGCCTTTAGCTGAGTGGGAGCCCACTGACCACCAGGGGTCGTTTGGTCATTTGGTTGATTTGCATATTAGCCTTTTATTATATAAGATTATCTGAAAAAACTATTAAAATACTCCTTTGTTCAACTATGTATCTATGTGAGGACAGTTTTGTGGTGTTTTTATTTTTGTTTTTTCATATATACTTCAGCTTATACAACATGTCACAGCTGATTGATTTGTTAAGCCAGCATTAAAGGGATTTGCAAAAATATCAAACATTGTTACTGTTCTCATTACGTTTTTTTGTTTTAGAAAATACCGTATATAATATAGAGCTAATATGCTAATTAGACTGGATGGCAGAAAGACCTTCTGGAATGATCTTTCAGAACGACCAGTGGATGGGGGTGGGGCCATGAAGCAGCCGGGGTTGCAAAGGCCTACTCTTGCATGAATTTCATACATTGGGCTTCTAATACTTGTCATAAAGTGCTATTTATTTGTTAGCATGTAGTAATGGCTTGTTATTTTTCTATTTTTTATTTGTTTTTTTATATTTTATTTTTTACAGAGAGGAAGAGAGAGAGAGAAAGTTAGAAACATCGATAAGAGAGGGACCAGCTGCCTCTTGCATACCCCCCACTGGGGATGTGCCTGCAACCAATGTACATGCTCCCAACTAGAATCGAACCCGGGACCTTTCAGTCCGCAGGCCGATGCTCTATCCACTGAGCCAAACCGGTTTCGGCAATTTGTTATTTTTAAATGAAAAAATATTTTAAATATGTTTTAATTTTTGTACTACATGCATATTGGTAAACAGCACACTGAAGCAAAGGCTCTTTAGGGTTCTCAGTAATTTTTCAGAATATATATTAGCTCTGAGACCTAACGTTTGAGAACTTCTGTGATACATTGTATGTTTATAATGACCAGTTTTCACATATTTATGGTCATCCTATAGATAGAATATCCTTGTTCTTTTAAAAATTAGAACTCTTTTAATATTTGTTTTTAGCAATGTTTTTGGAACAATGCCAGTGGGTGCTTCTGCACAGACACAGCCTGCTTCTTCAAGTGTGCCTGCTCCATTTGGAGGTAGGTGTTTCTGGTAGTCGTCCCCCCTTATGTGTGGAAGATGCATTCTAAGACACCTAGTGGATGTCTGAAACAGTAGATCATACCAACCTCCATATTTACTATGTTTTTCCTGTACATACATACCTATGATGAAAAAAAGTTGAATTCATAAAATTTGGCTATTCACCATACAAATTTTTTTGTGTTTTGTTTTCTTATTAAGTCGAGAACTTAATCACCTTTTCACTTAAAGGAAGCATTTTACAGCTTCTCTTTGGCATATACGAATTGCCAGCATCACTACTCTTTGCACTTTAGGCCATTAATAATAAGTAAAAGTCGAGCAGGGTGGAGAGAGATTTCATCACCTTACTCAGATTAGTGCATAATTTAGAACTTATCAATTGTTTGTTTCTGAAATTTTCCACTTAATTTTTTTGGGCTGCCATTAACTGTTGGTAACTGAAGCCACAGAAAGGGGGAGTCATGGATAAGGGGGAAGGAATAATGTGGACACTGTATAGAGGCCAAGTGTATATTGTATAGCAATTTCAGGAGAACCAGATGACAGAGCAACAGTTTATTATTAGAAAGCTTTAGTTTTCTATCTTCAGAAATATATTAACAAATATATTTTTATATATTTTAATATAAATGTATTATGATTTTATAGTCTATAATTTTTTTTTTTAAAGCTACGCCTTCCACAAATCCATTTGTGGCTGCTGCTGGTCCTTCTGTGGCATCTTCTACAAATCCATTTCAGACCAATGCCAGAGGAACAACAGGTAAGAAATATAAATTACGGAACAGCAAATTTTGGAAAAGGTATTTATTGCAAAGAAACCATGTGAGCAAACTAGAAAAATAAGGATTCATTCTTACTGAAATGAGTGGATAGTGGATAGGAGAGTTTGTTCCTAAAGACAAATACTTTCAGAATGTTTATAAAATTCTGGAACTTAATGCACATTTGAGAAGGACCTTAGGAGTTAACTAGTACCTACCTCGCTCAGTCACAATTCTCATATTCAGGGAGGAAGCCCAGGTATGGAGATGAGACTTCCTTGAACCACACAGCCAATTTATGTAGAGATGGGACTTGTACACAGTAATTCTGACATATTGTGGTGGTCTGCTTTCAGAATTATAGATATAACTCATTCAATCATAGAAACGTGTAAGAAGGTTTTTTGCCTTGTTTCTGACTCTTGACGTGAGATTGCAAGGGCCAAATGGGCTTTATTACATGAGGTCTTAAGATCAGGTCTTTTTCTAGCACATATCTCTCTTAGGATGTTAATATTTTAGTAAAATGTGAAAGATTTACACCATCTGAAGAGAAACCAGAGTATAGAATGTTAACATTTTAAAAATTGGGGGAACCTGATTTAATTTGGGTATAATGTTTTGAGTATTTTCTCAATTGCTGCTTCCCCAAATTTTAATTAAGTATGCTAATTTAAAATGAATGGACATATACTTTAGAAATAATTCTACCCCAGATGGTTAAAACAAACACAAAAATGTTTTATTACATAACTTAAATTTGTTTTTTATTAATTAGATTTATTTATATGTACCTCTCTGATCTCAGTCATGCCAAGTGGGAAAACACAAGATGCTTTTTTTTTATTCTGTCTTTTCAGCTATTATATTTTAATGAACTATAGCGAATAATTTTCCCCTTGTAGTACTCAGCTTACTTGAGTTACCTTTGTGTATTTCTAGTTCATATAAAAAGTTGTAAATAAAAATCAAGTATTATCCAGGTGCTCTCTCCAAGGTTTGACTGCAGAAACTAGGTCATTTTAGATGATCCTGTAAATAGCATTTTTGGGTATGACTCATGAAGCCTACAAGTCTTTATGGATATAGTTATATCTTCACATGAAAAAAAAGTGTTTATTTAAAATGATGTATTTCATAAAGGTTTCTTCATTTTATATTATCTAATATCCCCTTTATTGCAAACTGTGTAAATATTATAGTGTCATGAATATAGTTCAAATAAACTGGATGTGTTTTATCATGTATTTTGCTACCCACTTTGTAAGAGTACATTCTAATTTTAGAACTTTCGATGAAATACATTTACTTTTATTTTAACAATAGTTACCATTAAGTTAATGACATTGGTCTCTTTATGGCTCTCCATAAGGCCTTTCTGGAGCAATGCATTCTCAAGTGTTTCCTCACGCTCATTTTGGTAGGTGGCCACCACGAATGTCTAGATTTCTGTGGCAGTTTGTCTGCCTGCTTGTGGAAGCTTCTGCTAGTGTTCTGAATCTCTGCATGTGGAATTAAGTTCTTCCGTGTTTTAAAATGGAGTGGGCATGAATGTGTGGCATTGGGATTGCATTATATTTTAAATTACATAGAAATCTTCTGTAGTTATTTATGTTTTAATGCTGAAAAGTATTATTGCTTACCTCCATGGTCATATTAGAATGTCATAGTTTTTTCAATTGTTTTTCTTGAGTTTGAATTTATAGTAGTTTGAGTGACACCTTTTTGATATACCAAACCATTTTACCACATTATTCCATGGAGTTTGGTTTTGTTTAATTGTGCTCAAGTTCTGCTTTTTAGTGCTTTTTAAAAAGTGACTTGTCGAAGTTATGTCAGTGCATTGTCTGTTATGAAACCCTCCTGTTTCCTCGCAGTGTGCTTATTACTTATTCACTTGCTCCCCAATGGCTGTTTCCCTTCTTTTTCTCCTTAATAATGAGAAAGTAATTAAAATTTTTTTTACATTCTAATTAGTTTCATTGAAGGTCATTGTTATAAACACTAGGATTATGAGTATTACTTTGGACAACATCTGTAACATATTTTAATTTTTATTTTTTGTAACATTTTTAATATTTCTGTGCTTAAAATCAGCATTTGAGTAAAATTTTTAAATCAGGAAATTAAGTGAGTTATCTTTTTTGATAGCATACTTAAAACTATTTCACTGTATAATTACTACTATTCTGTATTAAAAACAACATTATTGGCTTTTATTTCACTGAGGCCTTCCTAGAACACATAATCTTCTCTAACAATAGTGATACACTGCACTGCTACCACCTGTGTTTCTATAATGCAAATTATTTCCTGAGTAATTCTTCAATGGGGAATGATGGCAGCATACCACATATGTAATGGTAGTTCACAGATTTCCCCAACCTGTGACTGCTCTGTTCCACAGAGTTAATAATGGCCAGACGTGGCAAGCCGTGGAGAAGCACAGTTCTGGACACAGTGTTCATCTATACTGTGTGCTTTGTCTCTTCTAATAATACTTTGTTCAAGTCTTTTCCCATCTTTGTGCATTTTGCCCTAATTTTTATAACTCAGCAGTTCTAACCTTCCTTAACCCTTTATCCAGAGTAGTCTTTATTTGCCATCCATAAAAGGATTGTGGGAGTCCATATATTTCTCTTGGAAGTGATTTATTAGGAGTGTAACATGTCCTTTTAATTGTGTTCGAGTTTTTATTAAGATTTCCCTCCCCCATTTGGCTCTGGTTACAAAACTGCATAGGTTTTGTGTGGCTTTCATCTAACTCCTATAAGTTTTGTTGTTTTTGCTGAGTTACTTTAAATAGGTTCTAAAATTTTTTCCAGGAATTCACATATTATGTTATAAAACACAATTCATTAAATACAATTAAATACTTAGCTATTTTACTATATATAGCAAAGCAAAATGAAAAATGTTAATATATATACATGTGAATTGCCAGGATGATGGGCTTTAAAAAGTAGATTGCTGACTAGAGTTGAATTTTATTAATATACTTTGAGAAATTTTTCTTCATTAGTTTTATTCTGGTTATTGAGTTTTAGGAAAATAAAATTTTATAAGTTGTTATACTGTATATTGCTAAAACCTAACTGACTTCGTTTTGAAATTTAGAATGCCTTTAATGTACAACTTAATATTTTTCAAAGTAAATGATATCTCTGCTGTAATATTGAATATGAGAAACAAAATGTGCCCTTTTAAATGTAAGTGATCAGCCGTTTTCTTCTCCTGTCAGCGGCGACCTTTGGCACCGCATCCATGAGCATGCCTGCAGGCTTCGGGACGCCTGCGCCCTATAGTCTTCCCACCAGCTTCAGCGGCAGCTTCCAGCAGCCTGCCTTCCCAGCCCAAGCAGCTTTCCCTCAACAGACAGCTTTTTCTCAACAGCCTAATGGTAAGATCTGACATTTATTTGTAAGTCCCCTGTAGTTCTCTTGTCCTATATAATAAAAGCCTAATATGCTAAGTGTTTGGTCATCCAATAAATCAATCAAAGTATAATATGCTAATGATATGCTAAGGCTGCTCAACTGCTCACTGTGACATGCACTGACCACCAGGGGGCAGACGCTCTGACTGGTAGGTTAGCTTACTGCTGGGGTCCGGCTAATGGGGACTGAGTGAGATGGGCTAGACATGCCTTGGAGCCCTCCCGCATTCCTCCCTAGCCCCAGTGGTGCACTGGTGGGGTCCCTTGGCATGGCCTGTGCCATCTCACAATCCAGGACCCCTTGGGGGATGTCAGAGAACTGTTTTCAGCCCAGTCCTGCAGGCCAGGCCGAGGGACCCCACTGGTGCATGAATTCATGTACTGAGCCTCTAGTATGTCATACTGTTATGTGTTTGGACAAAAGAACTTAATTGAAGAACGCTGTATTGTGGTCTACTTGAATGGGTATTTGGGCCTCAGAAAAATGACTAAATTGGTAAGTTTTTGTGACTAGATTATCGATGCAGGAGAAATCAGACACACTAAAGAGTCCCCAGTGTCTTTCTTATTCATTCATCTGTGTTCTAATACATCTCTTGATTTTAAAAAGAAACTTTAAGGACATAGAGTGTTTTTTTTGTTTTTGTTTTAAATATATTTTTATTGATTTCAGAGAAGAAGGGAGAGGGAGAAAGGGATAAAAACATCAATGATGAGAGGGAATCATTGATCAGCTGCTCCTGCACTCTCCTAACTGGGGATGGAGTCCACAATCTGGGCATGTGCCCTTGGCTGGAATCGAACCTGCTCTATCCACTGAGCCAAACTGTCTAGAGCTAGAGTATTTTTTTTGTTGTTGTTTTAATATATATATATTTTTTAATTTCAGAGAGGACGGGAGCGGAAGAGAGAGATAGAAACATTAATGATGAGAGAGGATCATTGATTGGCTGCCTCTTGCACCCCCACACTGGGGATCAAGCCTGCAACCCAGGCTTGTGCCCTCACCAGGAATTGAACCATGATTTCCTGGTTCATAGGTCGATGCTCAATAACTGAGCCATGCCAGCTGGGTTGGAGTGTTTTTGTTTTTAAATTCTTTATTGTTTAATGTATTACAAAGTCTCCTTCCCCTCAACCCCCAATTGATCTCTCCCCGGCCACCTCCAGTCTGTGTCCATTGGTTATGTTCATATGCAAGCATACAAGTCCTTTGGTTGATATCTGAGTGTTTTTGTTTCGCATCAGAAAATTATGCTATTTTGTTTAAGGTTTTTTTGGTGGGTGGTGATGACATAGAGTAATAAATAGGCAACAGTATATATTATGGTTAGAAATATTTACTTGTTTTCAGGAAAATTCAATAGAGACTGGTTTGTGTGGTCGTCGCCCTTTTGCCCCCCTGCTCATCCCTATTCAATTTTGTTTATGGCTAAAGTTTGAATTCCATAGATTTGAAGATTATCCTAAGATTATTGATATTCTTTTCTAAAGTTGTGCTTAACTAAAAATTTGGAAATAGGGTCTGTGACAGCCTTAATGATGAAATGTTCCTAAGGAATACTATGATGTTTACTTAGAAACTGCTGTGTGGTCTTACAGCCTCTCTCAAATAGTCACCATCAGTGCTCATCTATTTTTTAAATCCTTTGAATGTCAGTAGGTTAGGTACCTGAGACAAATTGGAATTAACTATTTCTGTGGACTATATAAAAGATAAGCCACAGACGCTGAAACCGGTTTGGCTCAGTGGTAGAGCATCGGTCTGTAGACTGAAAGGTCCCAGGTTCGATTCTGGTCAAGGGCATGCACATTGGTTGTGGGCACATCCCAGTAGGGGGTGTGCAGGAGGCAGCTGGTTGATGTTTCTCTCTCATTGAGGTTTCTAGCTCTCTCTCTCCCTTCCTCTCTGTAAAATATCAATAAAATATGTTTAAAAAAAAAAAAAAAAGATATGCCACAGAAAGTTTATTTCTGGTTTTGAAAGAGCATAAGACCTAACAATTTAACATTGATATTTTATTGTTGGTCTGGTAGGAGTTTCTCTGAAACTCATTGGCTTTATAAACATCAGATTGTCTCTCAAAGATGGAATGGGTTATAACTGGTGGTTCCGTTTTTACAAGGTGCAGGTTTTGCAGCATTTGGACAAACAAAGCCAATGGTAACCCCTTTTGGTCAAGTTGCAGCTGCTGGAGTATCTAGTAATCCTTTTATGGTAAGTGAGGTGCAATTTTAAGTACTTTGTAAGTTGTTGCATATTATTTTCAAATTAGGAAAAGCAGGATGTGTCTCCTCTTGGATGCTGTTTGCTACTGTACTGATAAGACATTGCAGGAGTGTACACATTGAGGGAGCCATTATGCAAGATACCTTTGTGACTCAAAAAACATTCATCAGTTGAAATCAAAGAATTGACAGTAAATAAGCTATTTTATAACATGAAATTTGTCTGCTTTCTTGCAAAAGGAACACTTTATGAGCAGCTGTAGACATAGTAAACATTGTGGAAAGGGGTCTTGGAGTCAGATTTAGTTTGAATCATAAATGCATTTTTTTTAGAGTCAAGTTCATTTTGAGAATTACATGAAATAATTATATAAAAGGCACAACACAGTGCCTAATACCTAATCATTTTATTATAGTATATTGCTAATAATAGTAATAAATGTGATTGCCAATAATTAAACCTAATCTAAATACTCTTTAATATTTTCATCTCGCACCACTTTTGTCTGTTTATTTATTTTGTTTTATGTTTTCCTTTAGACTGGTGCACCGACAGGACAATTTCCAACAGGAAGCTCATCAACCAATCCTTTCTTATAGCCTTATATAGACATTTTACTGGAAAGAACTTTTACATGGTCACATTACATCTCTCCGCCTCTTGCACTGTTGTCTTGTTTCACTGATCTTAGCTTTAAACACAAGAGAAGTCTTTAAAAAGCCTGCATTGTGTAATAAACACCAGGTAATATGTGCAAAACAGAGGGCTCCAGTAACAACTTTTAACCTGTGAATTGGCAGAAAAAGGTAGCGGTATCATGTATATTAAAAATTGGCTAATATTAAGTTATTGCAGATACCACATTCATTATGCTGCAGTACTGTACATATTTTTCTTAGAATTTAGCTATTTGTGCATATCAGTATTTGTAACTTTTAACACATTGTTATGTGGAAAATGTTACTGGGGAAATAGATCAGCCACTTTTAAGGTGCTGTCATGTACCTCGGAATGAATGACCTGAAATCATTTTAACCATTGCTACTGGAAAGTTACAAAGTCATAATTGGAAGGTTTTATTCAGTCTTGAATTTTTCCCTCCTAAAGAGCTCTTCTATTTATACATGCCTAAATTCTTTAAAAATGTAGAAGGATACCTGTCTGCATAATAAAGCTGATCATGTTTTGCTACAGTTTGCAGGTGAAAAAAATAAATATTAGAAAATATGCTATTGTTTTTGTGTTCTTGCTGCAATGCCTTTACCAAAGTGGCCTTAAATGTGAGTAGTGAATTGAGAACATCTTGAATTCTTAAATTAGGATTTCAGAAGACTTCTAGTGACAAGCTTTTATGTCTAAAAGAGAAAATTTTATAAAAAGGCCATGTAGAAAATGTTCTAAAACTACTATGACTGCTATATTCAGGAATATGTCAGTGGTAAAGCATTTACATGTAGCTTGTCAGATTCACCATAATCCTTCTAATTTCTTTGCAACTTCTTAATTTTGTGAAATTTGTAAATATGAGGAATTTGCATGTATGTGTATTTACAAATTTTTAAAAGTATCTTGAATTCTTAGACTTCAAAAGGCCTATTTTAAATATTGATTTTAAAAATACTGTCTTTGAATGTATTGGAAGCAGACACGCATTAACTGTGACATGATTGCACCTCAGATTGGTTTTCTGTTTAGACAAACTGATATTATTAATAGGACATTTGTTTATGTGCATCTCTAGGGGGGTAAAGAAACTGGAACCCAGTATTACCTTGAAGTTATAGAATACTTTGTTTAAAAGGGCAATGATACTAATGTTTAGTTGTAGCTTTTTGTTAATATTCAAATGAACTTGTTTAAATATTTATGTGCAGCAATGCCTCATTCATCCAGAGATAATCTGGCAGTCTCATGAAAACAACTTCACTGGGAAACTTGGAATCAACTTTTATTTTAGTGCCTTTGAGCAACCTACTTGTAATGGAGTCTTTACTGATAATTTGGTTTCCCAGCCCGTAACAAATTAGCAGTTCAGAGCTGTTGCTTAGAACTGAGGAGATAGAAGAAAACTATGAAGAGAATACTCTTGAAGATTTTTTAGTGTAGGGGCAGCCAGCCCAGCCTAGATCACTAAATCACATCATCTTCTAATAATTGTCTATTTCGCTGATTCTCTGTCATCAAGAAAAGCTGAAATTACATATACAAATGAGTAACGTGTTTGTAAAGTTTTATCTTATAATGATTAGACATTTTTTTAAAAGCTTTGGTATTAAAAGAGGTGAACATCTGTTTCCTCAAACATTTTATTCATGTTGAATACCTTTTTCAGTGGTGGCTACATGAGTTATCCTACTATACTCAACTTGTGTAGTATTTTAGACTTGTTAAAACATTGCTGTTTGTTGCATATCTAGCTGAATGTGTGGTTTACCTGACCCCTTTGATAAGAAGACTGGGAGATCTCTGCCCCTTTTCTGAGCAGTATGCCTCTTTTAGAATTAAATGAATGCTGCAACGGTTGTGTGTGTTGATGTATACTTGAAATGTCTCTACATTTGTGGGGGCTCCCTCCACCTTCTTTTCATGGAGTGAACACTAAAGAAATGTCTTTGAATGTCTCTGTTTTAGATTGTATTGGGTCCCCATCAATCCACATGTACAAAGTTAAAATATATAATTGTAGGCATTTCCCAAATAACCTTCCAGCTTTCCATCTAAGAAATAAGTAAATTAAACAGTTATTATGAAAATAATTTTAAAGACTATTTCTTCTGAGTAAATTCTGAATTTTGTAATTAAATCGGAACTTTCATTGACTTGAAATGAATGCTTATAAAATTAAATACTTAGGTTAAGAAGTGGTCCAGATTTATAGTGGATTTAAGTCAACTTCATTTAGACTTTCCTATTCAGGTTTGCATCTGATTTTTGATAGACCACCAGAATTGTCTCTACATTTGTGTGGTCTCCCTCCAGTCCTTTTTTCATGGAGGGAACACAGAGAACTGAAGAGGAGAAAACTCTTGAGGTGACAAGGCTGAAGATCTTATAGTTTTCGGCTTCCTGGTTGAATCAGATCGTCTCTCCTATCTTTACTCAGAAAAGAAAATTTTATTTTATTTTATTTTAGGGTGACGAACTTGGTTACGTTTAAAGGCATGCTGTATTTTCATTTTTGTGCAAAATAGAGGTAATTACTTTATTTGTTCAAATAATTCCTCTAAATTTGAAGGAACATATCAGTGGTTTACCTGTGAGTTGACCCTTCCCCCAGTGCACATTGTCTTTGCTACATATAGTTCCTAGAAATTAGTAAAATGGATGCTTTTTTACCATTTCCCAACAGTTTTGAGAAACTGGGTCTCAAGACCATAACCCCCAAAGATCTTTTGTTTATATAACATGGTCAGAATTTACTGTATTAGAAATTAATACTAAGTCATTTAAGAACTATGTTTATTTAAATATAACAATAACCCATTACATGTTAACATAAATACCATTTTTATAAAAATAAGTGTTATCCAAAAACAGTTAATGGGAACATTCTGTTTTGCTCATCTTTTAAATATCTGGACTGAGAGACACAGCGGAGTCTCATTGTGATTCTTTTTCTATCACGTGGCATGTGGATGCTGGAAACTCCTCTGTGAACTGCAAGATCATGGGTGAAGCAGAGACAACATTTTGGTACTGTTATGAAAATAGTTTGGATCTTGTGTGTTGGGTACCCTCAAGGGTCCTCAGACCAGTCTTTAAAAACCACTGCACTACACTTTTAATGTATATTTTTGGGACAACAGGATATCATTGAAAGCATAGCACCCTCTGAACTTCTATGGGTTTTTGTTGTTGTTTTTTTTTTACTTAGTTGGTGGGAAAAATGAAAATTCCTCTTGAAGTTGCACATGTTAAGCCCAGCCAGTGTATTCAATGATTGAGCATCAGGAGTTAACTACTTTTTAAAAAAAAATTTTTTTTAAATATATTGATTTTTTACAGAGATGAAGGGAGAGGGATAGAGAGCTAGAAACATCAATGAGAGAGAAACATTGATCAGCTGCTTCCTGCATACTCTACTGGGTATGTGCCCACAAGCAAGGTACATGCCCTTGATGGGAATAGAATCTGGGACTCTTGAGTGTGCAGGATGATGCTCTATCCACTGAGCCAAACTGGTTAGGGCAGGAGTTCACTCCTGTTTGAATCCCAGTCAGAGCACATGTCCAGTTGTAGGCTCAATTCCCAGTAGGAAGCATGCAGGAGGCAGCCGATCAATGATTCTCTCTCATTGATATTTGTCTCTCCCTCTCCCTCTCTGAAATAAGAAAATATATTTTTAAAAGTGCTATCATGCTTATGTGTAAGATTTTTAAAAATATTTCCCAATCCTGAGAGGGTTTGCATATCCTATATATCTAATAAAACTTTATTAATTTGGGTTCCATTTATAAGTTGATAAAATCAGTACAGTTTATTCTTTAAGGGCTTATTTAAACTTTACAAGTAAATTAATAGGGTAATTAGTGGAACATGTTTTAAATTAAAGAGATCTTTAAAGTATCACAATTTGTGAAACAACTTTATTGATAGTTTGTTCCCCAGCTTTTAAATTTGTAAAATATGTTTCTTACAAATTTAAGTTAGCCTGTTGCATCCTCATTAGTTAAAATTTTCTTGCATCTTTTAAAATGTCATAATGTCAATAAAATTTTTATGTAATGTATTTGGACAAGCAAATATATGGCCAATATGTAATTGAATGTTTTATTGGTGAATATTTAGCAACTGCTTCTGGTGGAAAAATGCCCTGTGTTGTAGTGTTGACTGATTGATACTTATGGTATAAATATTGTCACCATGGCTGATTTCACCTACCAGTCTGGTATTAAACTTGGAGTTAGAAAGAGATAATATACTAGCAGCTCTCCTAAGCTTTTGCAATCCAGCACTAGCACACACTGACATATAATTTGACAACACACTCATTAAATTTATTGGTTATTTGCTGATTGTATCCAGTATTGGAAGAGTCTTGTATTGTTCAGCAAGATTTGAACACTAATTCATTTCTAGAAGCAAACTGGGTATGAGGCATTTAATCTGAAAATAAGTATTGTGAAACCTTAGTTTTTAAAAGTTCAGTTATAGTGCTGCAGGGGTTGTACATTCATGGCATATACTCTGAATTCTGTCTACATTTGAGTTTTGTTCAACAGTATTTTAAAAACTTGGAATTTGAATAGTTTTTAGGGAAGATGTGCTCTTAAGTGGGCCACTAGCCTACCACTCCCAGGGTTCTTAGCCTCAAACATTCAAATGAATTTTAAGGCCATTCAATTGCAAATCCAACTTGACATAAAAGGGTTCTTATGCTTCCTCTTCTGATTTTGGGGCCAGTCCTGAAGTAGTAGAATTTACGATATTTTTCAGTGAAGGTTTTTCCCAACAATACATTTTCTTTTAAATCTGGTAACATCTGTGCATTCTGCTTATTTTATGCCAATGGATAAGAATTAACATATCTTTAAATAAATTTTTGAAATCTGCTTGTCCAGCTCACAGAACTTTGGAGTTGAATGACAAAAGGATGTTA